ACACACACACACACACACACATACATATACACACGTCGCTGTAGGCATCGTTTAGCAAAGTGTTCCTTTGCAGCTTTGGGAGAAAGTGACTCAGTGTGACTGTGTATGGCCATGAAGTGACCCTCGGTCCTGTCCTGCAAAGCAGTTTTATTTTCTGCCTACGTAAACACAAACCTGCCCGGTTTTCATTAATTCAGCACTGAACGGTCTGCTCAAAGTGTACAGACTCCCAACAGAGTTATAAACAATTATTTGTTGTTTTGCTTTGGGTTGGATCAGTTTCATCTGGACTTGTCTGTACTGTAGGTTTTCAAAGCTCATCCGAAAAGACAAAAGTGGTAAAAATATAAGCCACTGCTCACTTTTAATGTTATTAGAATACATCTTGCATCAACAGCGCAGCCTGCTTCACYTTACTGTTTCAAACTCCTCTGTGGATTTCACAAGAGCCTCCTGCACCCCACTTCCTTCTTGTCCATCACTCACCACAACTGCACCTTTTTTCCTCCTTGTCTTTTTTCTTTTCTTTTCTTCTCCCCTCTTTCCAGTGCACCTGCTTCTCTCCCTGACTGCTTTCAGAGCTTCCTCAGGGAGGAGGCGCTGGACTTTTTCTGTAGCCAGTGTCACAAACAAATAAGTCGCCTCGAAGATCTGTCCGCTCGCCTCAATTTCCTAGAGATGACTAGGTAACACGTCATGCACGGCCCCGCTCTGTTTACAAGCTGCCTGAATGTGTTTGCAGTGCTGATTAGATACAGTATCGCACGTTCTCACAATGTGTGCACGCTGCTGGTTTGCAAACATGCTGTGTGTTTTTGTTCGCTTGCAGTTCTAATGTGTGTCTGTCTTAAGCTTGTTTTGTTTGTTGTTGTCCTCCCAGAGTTCCTGGTTTTCCCTCCTCTGCCTTCTGTTTGTGTTTTTAGATGCAGTGTTAGCAGGTTTGTGTATTACGAGGGGGGGAGGGGGGAACATGACTTGTTATAGAGTTATCTCATTAGATTTTCACAGAACATGTCAGATTTAATTAAAATTGAATAAGTTTGAGTGATGATTGCTGTAGGTTATTTTTTATGTTTTGTATTAGGTTGTTGCGGAAAAGCCTTTTGAGAGTTGAACATTTCAAAGGACTTGTATTGAAACAGACTTGCTGATCTGGGATTAAAGACCATTAGCAGTATTACACAAACTTAGTAACTAATCGGCTTAAAACGATTTCCGATCGTGTTATTTAAGAGAAAAAACACCAGGGCACAATTTAGCACTACTTTATTTTTAATGAGAAGTTAAAAATGTGTAAGTTTCTATTAAAGGGATCCCTGATTAGTTGTAACATTAGACTTTATTTGATCAACATTTATTTTAACTGTAAAATAAAGACTAAAAATACTGTAGGCTGTTTAGTTTTGTAAATTTTTAAAAATATATTTTAACACGGATGGAGCCATTTTATTTACACGCAAAGCATTCTGGGTAAATGATGACATGAACTAGGTCATTGGTGTGAGGCTTCTAGGGAGCTGGATCCACCCTGAAGGTTAATCTTGGACAATATCTGATGATCGACTCTTTTAAATGAAACCAGAGAGCGTTGACAGAGAGGAGAAGGTAGAAATGACTCAGCCTGTGACTGAAAATATGGATGGAGGACAACAGAGCTGCTTCATGGAAGAAGAACCTCAGCTTAGCCTGTTAGCTTTAGCGTTAGCGCCAATGCTATATTGCCTTATATGTATTAGCTCGGCGCTAGAGTGACAAGCTAAACTGAGGTCCTCCATCCATATTTTCAGTTGCAGGCTGAGTCATTTTTGTGTTCCCCTCTCTGTCATGTGGATGGAGGACCTCAGTGATGAGAGGAGAATGTGTAGCGCTGAGCTAATACATATATATGGTGATAGCGTCGAGGCTAAAGCTAACAGACTAAGCTGAGGTTCTTCTTCCATGAAGCAGCTCTGTTGTCCTCCATCCATATTTTCAGTTACATGCTGAGTCATTTCTACCTTCTCCTCTCTGTCAACGCTCTCTGGTTTCATTTAAGAGTCGATCATCAGATATTGTCCAAGATTAACCTTCAGAGTGGATATAGCTCGCTAGCAGCCTCGCATCAATGACCTATCCAAACCATCATTTACCCAGAATGCTTTGCATGTAAATAAAATGGCCCCGTCCGTGTAACATATTTTTAAAATTTTAGTTTAAAAATGATAAAAGCTGAACATCCTACAGTATTTTTAGTCTTTATTTTACAGTTAAAATATATGTTTATTATATGTTTATTAAATAAAGTCTAATGTTACAACTAATCATGGATCCCTTTAACAATCTGTTGAGCCAAACTGATCCAACATCAGCTCTCTGTGGAGACAAAACACCTCTGTGTGTGTGTTAGACTGCTGTGTGTGTCCATTTCTTGTAGTTTCAATATAAATCTAAGACTTTGTTGGCTAGATAAACGTGACTCAGGTATTRAGGAGGAATACCAGGAGAGTCTCTCCTCGTCTCTTTTCTCTTCCTGATCCTTTTTCCTGTTCTTCTCCTGCAGTGCTGGGAAAAGGTTGTCCAGTAAGAAGGTGGCAAGGTACGTTCAAAACAAGACTTCTCGTTTTATTGGAAAGCACTTGAAATTCTTCTACAAATGGAAGTGTGTTTGAAATTAGATTTTTATGTTCTTTCTTCCACTCTGCACTCAGACACCTCCTGCAGAACAGCTCGATGACGCTGGACACCATGAGCGACTTGACGCGGGACATCCTGGAGCTGGCCGACAACGACATCACCGACAAGGTGGGCGAGCCGGCGTTTCCCCGAGCCGTCGGTTATCGCGGCGAAGAAGGTTTTCCAAAAGTGTCAGCTGTGACATGTCGACTTCTGCCTCCAGGTGCTGCTCCTCGAGCGTCGGGTGGCGGAGCTGGAGAAGGAGTCGGAGGCCTCGGGAGAGCAGCACGCACGGCTGCGCCAGGAGAACCTTCAGCTGGTGCACCGGGCCAACGCCCTGGAGGAGCAGCTGAAGGAGCAGGAGCTCCAAGCCGACGAGGAGCTCCAGCAGGAAACCCGGCGGCACAAAGAGGCTCTGAGCAAGCTGGAGCGAGAGAAGGAGCTGGAGCTGGAGAACCTACAGGCCAGGTGAGAAGATCAGGAGGCAGCAGGTGATTAATTTATTTATTTTAGAAGCACTGTGGCTGCACAAATTCAGTCTGTGCTGATGTTTGTTTTATGTATTTATTTATTTATTGGCCTTATTTGACAATGACTCCATACTGCCACCATCTGGCATCAAAACAACTTTTCTTTTAATCAGTAAACAGGACAAATCTGTGTAGTGTGCTTTTGTTCAAGTCATGAGAGACTGATTTTTGTTTCTCAGGTTGCAACAGCTCGATGATGAGAACAGTGAACTGAGGTCCTGCGTTCCCTGCCTTCGAGCAAACATAGAAAGACTAGAGGAGGTGAACTTGATCACATCAAGTCTGATTTTTCTTTTCTCACTTCACTTGCTGTCTGCCCTTCTGTTGTCTCCTCGCTCGCTTTTAAAGCCAGTTCTTACCCCAGCTTTGTGTCTGTGTGTTCGCAGGAGAAGAGAAAGCTTCAGGATGAGGTGGAAACAGTTTCAGATAGGTTGCAGGACGAGACGGAATCGCGCCGGAAGATGGCYGACAAGCTGAGTCACGAGCGACACCAGAACCAGAAGGAGAAGGAGAACACTCAGGAGGTGGGATTGGTTTGTCTGCGAAAAAAAAAACCCAACAAATTAAATATAAATCTGCTTTAAATGTCTTTCCTAACTTTCCTCTTCCTCACCTCCTTTGATGCGTTTGCACATCAGGTTATTGAAGATCTGCGTAAACAGTTGGAGCACCTGCAGCTGTACAAGCTGGAGGCGGAAGCAAAGAGAGGCCGTACTCCCGGAGCGGGGCTGCAGGAGTATCAGACCCGAACCCGTGAAGCAGAGCTGGAGCAGGAGATCAAAAGACTCAAACAGGTTGGAAGCACGATCCCGCTTCTCCACACCTCTAATCTTGTTGGGGTTTTTTTTTTCTGGGCAGTTTTTTCACTCCAGCCTGCTTTGTTTTCTAATCTAACACGAACTGATTGGATGTTTTCAGGACAACCGTTCTCTGAAGGAGCAGAATGACGAGTTAAACGGACAGATAATCAACCTGAGCATCCAGGGAGCCAAGAATCTGATGTCCGCTTCGTTCTCCGACTCCCTGGCAGCTGAGATCAACTCTGTGTCTCGTGCTGAGGTAAAGCTTTTTGTCAGTTCAGTTTACACTTGTTACATCAGCTGCGTTTCCTCTGACCTTCTGCTTCTTCCTCTTCTAGTTGATGGAGGCTGTTCACAAACAGGAGGAAATCAACTACAGACTCCAGGACTACATTGACAAAATCATTGTRGCCATCATGGAGTCCAACCCTTCAATCCTGGAGGTCAAATAGACCTCATCCAGCCAGAGGGWCCACCTGCTCTCACTCTGCAGACTCTCAAATATAAATACACACATACTCAACACCTGGCCAGAGGAAGAGGACATAGAAAGGATGTAAAAATCCAAATATCCTTTTGGAATCAAACAACTCGCCCAGTATTCTTTGAGAAAAGATGARTTCTAGATTTCTAAGAAGTCCGTGGCTGTCGATGGGAAAATAAGCTGCTTCTTATTTGAGTTTGAGTTTCTGTGTTCGCTCTCCTAAAAGCACTTGGGTTCTGGTGACTTCCATGTTTTTGGCTAGAGGGATCCAAGTCCCCCCTCCCCTCCCCCCACCCCGTCAGTGAGTGAATGCAGGAGTCTGCGTAAAGTAGAAAACATTTCCCAGAAACGTGTCAGCCTTCGATTGAGCTTCTGAAGAAGAAGGTTCTCCGATGATTCACTGATCCTACCGACGCCTGGGTTCAGTCTGCATCAGGAGGGAGGGGGGTGYGTGGGCTGCTGCCACTCGGACCGTGCTGAATCGTGTTTTAATCACAAACCGTATGAAGCGCCGGCSAGCGGCGCGAGGGGAAGTTTAACGTTTTTTAAAAAGCGTTTCGTGCTGCTCTTTCATCGTCATTCCAGGGAACCCAAGTGAGGGACCGTCTGGAGGGTTTTGTTTGCGTGCGTGACTCTGACATTTTCTTTCTTTTTTTCCTTTTTTTTTAAGCAACACACTTATTTTGTGGGGCAAGTTAAAGAAGTGGCTGGGGTTCTTATTTGCATCGCGGTTTCTTATGTTTTTAATTTTTACGATGAAACAGGGTCCTGGGTCTGAGGTGGGCTGGAAAAGCACTACACTTCCAAACATATCTCGTTTAACTCACACGAAACAATCTTGTTCACAGAGAGTAGGAATCTCTCCTGGAAATTCYTTTCCAAGTACGGCCCACCTGACTCCAGCATCCTCTTGCTGAGTGAAATAAGGAAGCGTACCTGATGTATTGTGTTGTTTTGGCCCAGCGCACGTAATTTATTGTCTGTTAAACTGTCGTTGCAACTGAAATGCTGGCATTTGATGAGTTGTATGTGAGGAAACGAACAGTTGTACTTTGCACTGTGTTTTGACTTCATTGTTGTTTCTGTTAGTTTATTGTGAAGGGATCAAGTCATGAATGAGGGTCGTTATTTGGATGAGTGTGCCCCCTTGTGAATCACGCTACTATAACGCCATATTTATTCAACATGGCAACAAATAATCCTGCAGGTATGGTTTTTTTTAAGGTTGGCTTCATTTTATTGTTTTTTTTTTTCCCTCAGCCAGTTTGGGAAGGCATGGCAAACCTTTTGTAGCAATAATGCTTGGCTAGAAAATTGTGGAGGGAAACTGAACAAACCTGCGCCTCATTGCTTCTCTCTAAGGATATATAAACTATTCCAGACTAATGGGTGCCGTGCGACTAACTCTTCTGGACACTGATGCAGACCTGGATGTTGGAACTTCCTGTCAGATTCATCAACGCTCAAGTTATTTCYAAATGGCGTGGCGTTCAGTGGCATCAGTATCCCACAAATTCCTGTTTTTTTTTTGTTTGTTTTTTTTCTCCCCTGTCTCCTGCCTCAGATCYTTTATTCACCTGCCGCTCTGTGGGGAAAAATGGCCTTGGATGTAAATGATGTAAAGATTTTTGTACACTCATTCTAGATTCTAGGTATTTTTATAATCACAAGAGGGGAAAGAGAATTTTTCCCCCCCTGATCCTACACAGAGGGAATACAAAATGTCAGCTGCCTGTACTCTTCTTTAGCATGTAGCGTGTACAGTATCTGTCAGGGTTCTTCACTTTTAAAAAAGATATTTATTCAGCGTTAACTCACTGGTCTTCTGTAGACAAATGGATTCACAAAAAGGGATAAATCGCACTAATTARATCTGGGAGAATTCAYTGAAAGGTGACAGTTTTAAAGTTTGTCTGTGGTTGTCGCACCTTGAATATGACCTGCTCAGAACGGTGATTTGTTGAGGTCTTTACTCTCTTCCATAACGCTGATGTTGCTTCGACCTGTTCAGGGCGGTGGTTCGGATGTGGCAAAGTCTGCACTTTGGACTGTTGTCTTCCCAGATGGAGTCGGATGCTGCATGGATACAGATTTATTTTATTRTCTCTCTCCACTTGCTGGGCAAATCTCACACTGTCCGCATCCATCAGTGGAGTTGTTGAAACTTTCACAGCCAGCTTAAAGGTTYTCCTTTCATATTTCTTTACAATATGGCACGTGGACAAAGCAGACAGATTCTGCTTAAATCTTTCTAATTCGTTGACAGATATTTTGACCAAACAAAGCTGGTAATGATACCTATCAGACAAACCACAGAGCTGTATGCAGTTTGCACTTTAACCTGATATAATTTCAGCTTTTGAATTCTAGTTTAAAAAAAAAAAAAGACCAAAGATGGATGTTTAGAATTTGGATCTGTCAGCGATCACGCTTTGGATTACACTTTAGCTGCTCTCACCCTGAGAGGAAGTCAGAAACTGGCCTGCTAGTCTCAACACTGTGCCTCCGTCTCAAACTTAGCCTCTGAACTAACCTGATAATGAGCCCCGAGGAAAAAGGCACTGGCTGTGGCCGTTGCTTTGTTTTAAAATATACATTGACACCTAAATTGTAAAAATGAATTGTCTTTTTTTGTTTGTTTGTTTGTTTCACACACTCACTTCCGGTGTCCAAAAGAAAGTTGGCTCCAGGCACGAGCATCACTATTGTCATGGTGCACAKCTTGCCTTTAGGTGACACGGGAAGATTTAAAAAGTCTATTGTAGAAAAGAGAATCTGTACATCTTAAATTTATTCCTATTTTCACATATAAATGTATAAATTATTACAGTAATGGGTACTGCTGTATATTTTTTGAAGCGCCCCAAAGTGATCAAATCTTAATTGTTACAAGGGAAATGTGTTAATGTAAAAAGAGGAAAATTTACAGGTAAGAAGTGGAAATAAGAGTAGAATAAATAAATGGAATAAAAGTACTCGTGTGTGGTTGTCTGATTTCTTTAATGTTTATCTAAAATTTAAGTATTTATTAGAAAGTGTGATTTTTACAAGTTTCCTGTTCACATTATGACACATCATGGTTATAAATCATATTTTTCACTTTTGTCTGATATTAATTCAATTCAATTCAAAAATACTTTATTGATCCCAGAGGGAAATTAGGTAATATACATTAAAATTAATACGGCTGCTCACAAGAGTTCAACTTGAAGAAAATCCCGGGTTTCCTATGGTTTTGTTTGCTCACCGGCTTCAGTGCACTTTTAGCGCCACCTGCCGGTTAAGAATTGATCTGCACYCACTGCGAGGCTGACGGACTTGACTTGAACCTCCTTGTCTGAAAAGTGACGCAGCGCCGTCTGCTGGATGATTGTGAGAACTACAGGTGCAAATCTGAATCTGGATTACTCGGTTTTTAAATTTTATGAATATCTCATTTATTGATATATTTGTAGACAGTTATGATACAGTATTTTTGTTAACATTTCAGTTTAAATATTTTCCCACACATTGATAAATAATGAGTAATCTATTTTACAAAAAATAAGGTCAAAGTAAATGTCGACTACTTTTAACTGTTAATTATAGTCATGTTGCTCTGAATTAAAAAAAAAAACAGTTCGACATATTGCCACTTGGAATTTTTTTTTTTTTTTACAAATGTTACAATTCTATATTAGCTTTTTTCTTTTTAGTTTTAAACTCGTGTGTAAAATAATCTAGTTGTTGACAAATTTACAAACACTAGCTTCTTGAATGCCTCAGCGGACCGACACACCCGGAACTAAATATTGTTTCTCCTGCACCTTGCGGTCTTATTTTGTTGAAACACAACAGCGAACCAATAGGCGCTGTAGCGTCAAGTTTGTCCAGTGAACATTAAATCTTACCAGGTAAAGACTTTATTATTATAACATTGACTGTACGCTACATCTCTAACAGTTGCGTTATTGTTTTGTTTAAGTAAAGTTTAACTTTAATGTATTTATCAAACTAATAAATCAAGCTACATTTTAGTTTCTTGGTTAGCTTAACCGGTGTTGAATACATGATTTGGTGCGACTATGTTTTTCCCCACTTACAGTCGACAAACACTTCTAGTATTTAGTTATATTGTGTTTTTTATGTGTAAATGTGTTTATTTTGTGCCAGGTATGCTAGCTGCTACCTTTTGTAATCATGGAATCAGTTTCGACAAATGCAGAGATTCGACTAACGGTGGCCCAGTCTTTCCGGACTCTCACTTCATCCACGGACTGCAAAGACATTATTGCCACTCTCCAGGCCCTCGTGTCATATTTGGACGATGGAGCAGAGAGTAAAACCACATCAGCTGAGCGGGAAGAGTTCAGGAGAGCTCACTACAGTCGCACTCTTCAGTTCCTGGTCAGCAACATCCAGGCAGACTGGCTGTGGAGCCTCTCAGCCGCACATCGCGCAGAGTTGTGGGATAATTGGTTTCTTAAAGGCCCTCCTGATCAGGCGCTGTTAGTGCTGATGGATGCAATAACCGAACTGAGGTGAGATGAGCCTGTTAATAGAAGTGTTGCTTGTTTTTGTTACCGCCTTCTAATGCTGATCGTCTCCGCACAGACCATCGACAAGTCTGGACCACCTGGTCGGTATCACTGAGAAGTTCCTTCAGAGTGGCCGTCTTGCTGAGCTGCTGTGGTCTTACTGTGTGCAGTCAGCTTCCTCAGACTCCCCGCAGCTCAGAGAGACTCTGCTGGGTCGAATAAGCGCGCTCCCAGAYATCATGGCCAACAAGTTACATCCCGACATCAGACCTTGTTTCCTCCCTCAGCAGTACTACCCACTGCTGGCCTCAGAGATGCTCGCTGCGCTGGAGAGAACCTGCCACGCCCTCAGAGGTTAGTGTGTGAAAATATGGGACCCATCACATCAAATCAGGCATTAAGTCAAAATGAACTCCCCACATTTTCATATTTCTGTGTTTTAAGCTACATTTTGATACCTGGATGAACACTGAGATATGACTTACTGTGATTTGTGTTTTTAATCACAATAATACATTAATGTTCGGTCTGAATCCTATTTTTAGGTTATTCTAACCTCAAACAGTATGTGGATGTTGAGATTTCCCAGCTGGAAAGAAACAAAAGCTTTCCTAGCTCACAGGGAAAGTATCAAAAATATAAGGTGTTTTTGTTCAAAATCATTTTTGTTGTTGTTGTTGTTGCCCAAGAAACTGCTTAAGGTTAAATTTCGGATAATTCACTCAAATGATACACTAATAAAACATTTATTCAATTATATTTTGACTAAATGCAATTATTTTAAATGTTTTACTCAAAACACTATCTGCCTATTTCTCTACATACCACTTTGGGTCTTAATCTTCGGTACGATGTGATGGGTCACAGATATTGTATAATCCATTCAGTCTGCTTTTGTGTCACTTTTTATCCTCATTCTTAGATGGCACTGACTGTTCTTTGAGTTTTGTGGCTCAAACACTTGGAAAAGTGTGTATCCAGGGGCACAGTGGTGAGTTTACACCTATTTATTCAAATCTGTAAAGATAATAGGGCTGGGTTGGGCAATATTGGTAAAAAAAAATAATCACAACTAATTCTGGTATTTAGCCGATAACAATTAATTTGACAGCTAATCCCCTTGAGTCCCTGGACACCCTTATGTCCKRGTCACATGACTAATTTAGTGGGAAAGATTTGCTCTTCATAAAAATCTGTTCCAAATTGTGTAAAAATAACAGACTTCAGGCTATAATCCATTAAAATTTTTCTGACKATTAATTGCACACGATACGATAATGCCCAACCCTACTGTGTATTGATTTGGTGATATGATGTATATATCAGGACACAGGGGTCACAATATGATATTTTGGGATGTACTGTGATACTGTAAGCAAGGTGATATATTGCCATTATTTTCTCCAAAAGACTCTAACTTTAAAAAACTCAGAACAAAGAGCAGACCATGCATTACTTGCATCAAACCTGATGAAATTCAGTTTGTTCATGCAATCAGAAAAACACTGAACAACAAATGAGAACTGCATTTGGATTTCACGTTTCGTCCTACAATATCCAGCCTTATTTAAAAATTGATACAGTGCTTTTGAGAATCGAAACAGTATCAAGAAATGAAATATTGTGATATTTCAGCATTTCATTCTTTCTCACATCCCTAACAGATAATACAAAACATTCAGCATTTGTTTAGTGTTTCTTTTTATAATGTCACATATTCATGTTTCCTGGTAATAAACAAATTGATTTTAATGAGCTAACGTTAAATTGGTCAAACATTTCACGAGGGCCACCTTTTAATAAGGAATGAAGCTGTTGCTGCTTGCTGTATATGTTCTGACCTGGAACCGTTTCCTCCAGGCTCAGTTCTGGCGCTGATGGCTCCCAGACTGTGTGTGTGCACGCGCTCAGACATGCTGTGGCGGAGGGTTTGCTGGAAGCTGCTGGAGAGCGTTCCTCAGCGGTGGATGGAGAGTGTTCTCACGGGGCTGGTGCAGGCTGTCCGCGGGTTCGTTGGTCAAGCTGGGCCAGCTGAACGGATTTTACAAAGAAACATTAGTTCCATTTATTAAAACATTTTTCATTATTGTTGTGGTTTTTTTCCAGACCTGACACTTTGGGACGAATCATTGGAAATCTTGTGTTGACCAATAAAAAAGCTCAGTTTGTCATGACTCACAAACTGCTGTTACTACAATATAAATACGAGGTAATGCAGAGAGTTGTCGTGTTGCAGTGAATGATGTGTGCCAGAAATATGAAGGGTGTGTTTTCTGTTGTGTATCATGTCCAGACTCCAGCCTTGAGAACTGTACTGGGTTACCTCGCTGCAGACAGGGATCGAAGGCCACTTCTCATTCAGGTTTGTGCGCCAGCCCAAGTTGTATAAATAAAGCATATGCTGTTTTTGTTTTGTTTCAACATACTTGTGTGTGTGTTTCCAGGCTATACGGTCTTTGTCGCAGGCCTGGGCTAACCCCAGTGCCATCAGACACACTCCTCTAGAGCAGCAGCTTTATGTGAGTAAAGCCTTGCTGCTGAGTGTGAGTCTGCTGAAGGACTCTGAGCTGCAGGAGCTGCGTTCAGGTACAACAAAACCAAACACTGCAAATATAATGCAAGGAGTAGTTGTTTGTAAAAACTGTTTTTGCTCTTTAAAATGTTAACGCCTGTAAGATTGTGAACCGTCAAGCTGTCTTGTATTAACGTTTTTACAGTCGTCTTCTAAACGAGCTGAAGGTTTTGATAAATGAGTAGTTAAAATAGCACAAAGTATGCAAAATAATTAGACTGCAAAACGTGCAGGGGAAAAACAACAGTGTGAGTCAGTTTTGTGCAGAGTGCTTGTGTTGTGTGTTTTTCAGAGCTCCTTCAGTGTATGCTGGGTGGCATGCAGAGCCACCTGGACAGCAGTGTGCCGCGGGTCAGAAAGATGGGCATGGTGGTTGGAGAGTGTCTGAGCTCCCGGATGGATTTCAAAGGAGCTGCTCTTAAATTTGAGGTCAGAGTTTGCTGCAGATCTTTAGCTAATGAGTAGTGATGAGCCATTTGCAGCTGAGGATCGCACTCATGTATCGACAAAAACAACCCACTGTTTCACAAGGATTGTATCGAAGCTCGATTCGTTTGGCAGTAGTCCTGTGATTATTGTCGTCTGAAGCTTCAAAAGTGCCGAAGTTAGGTCCCTGCTTTGGGACTGGATTCAAAAGTTTATGAGGAAGTAAATCATCGGCCCAATTGGTGGTGTGCTTCGGTGACAAATGAGCGACCAATTTATAGCGAAACACTGGGTCAGACAACCTTTTCTGTTTAGTTTACCAGTTTATAAACCCTTTTAAAACAAGAAAAGTAAAAAAAAAACTAGTTGAATAAATAGAATCAGAGGCAGAGAACTGATAGTGGAAGCGTCATTCTGAACTGTTGTGAAATAGTTAAGATTTTTATTTATTAAAGGGATCCACGATTAGTTGTAACATTAGACTTTGTTTAATAAACATATATTTTAACTGTAAAATAAAGACTAAAAA